GCTCGTATGTAGATGGTTCACTGTAAACATGGGCACTGGCATAGTCTCAATTCTCCTATTTGGCCTCCCATACAACGGAACATGGCTTTACTGGATATCTGTCTGCATTTTCGTGCTCAACCTACTCTTGTTCTCATCCTTTTTGACCATCTCGATCCTGCGGTACACCCTCTGGCCAGAAATTTGGCATGTGATGCTCAAGCATCCTTTTCAGTCGTTATTCATTGGGACATTTCCAATGGGGTTCGCTACCATCGTGATAATGATAGCTTTGGTATGTGTGCCTGCATGGGGGCAATGGGTGCAAGTAGTCGTGTGGGCACTATGGATAGCTGATGCTATAGTTGCCACTATATGTGCCATTTACTTCCCTTTCCTTTTGTAAGTATATACCAGATTCATGGTGTTGTTATTCTTTTCTTTTCTTTTCTTTTCTTTTCTTTCTGGAAAGGTCAGGTTTATTTTCTCCGGCTAATAGAGAGCAGGATGATGCCTGAAAAGCCGTCGGAATTGACCTCGATGTCGGCGGCATGGCTGTTGCCCGTTGTTAGTACAATCGTTGCAGCAGCCGCAGGTGCGGTAGTGGCAGAGACCCTACCGTCTCCACAACTTAGTCTTTGGACAATAATAGGTTCGTTCAGCTACATCCCTTCTTTGAAAATGTTGTGATTTTCAGAAGTGGCTATGACTGACACTGGTATGTATATTTTAGCTTCGTATATTCTCTGGGGACTTGGATTGTCATTCTCAATCATAATTCTAGGAGTCTATTTTGGGAGGCTGGCATTATATAGGTTGCCTCCAAAGTCCATAATCCTTAGCACCTGCATTCCACTTGGGCCAATGGGCCAGGGAGGCTTTGTGTAAGAATGCTCCAGACCGTTCCTTGTTTACTGTACCTGTTGGGGCTCCCTTATTCATCGACGTATATGAAAGCTAATCTGGCCTCAGGATCCTGAAACTTGGCGCAGGCGCTCGGAAATTCTTCCCAATAAATAATACTCTTGATCCAGCTGCCGGTAATGTATTTTACTCGGTAGGGTTTTTGATTGCCTTGATTCTTTGGGGGTTTGGGCTCCTATGGTTGTGCCATGCAATCTTGGCTATTGCTAGTCACAAGAGACTTCCATTTTCAATGGGATGGTGGAGTTCCATATTCCCCCTTGGTGTCTTTGCCAATTGCACGATACAGATGTCGAAAGAAATGCCATCTCAGTTTTTCAAAGTCCTTAGCACGGTAAGGATCATCTGTTTGATCAAGCTACCATCGGACAAGGATTGGATTCTGCTGACATTTTTATAGATTTTAGCGCTCTGCGTTGTGATTTTGTGGATAATTGTCTCTCTGGGGACTATCAGGGGGGTTATATCTGGGAATATCATTTACGCGCCATGTCTTAGTGACTTGCGGGTAAAAAGGAAGAAAAGGAGAATATTCAAATCGTCTTGATTATCGCTAAATCGTCAATACGCTAATATGTATAAATTATTAAATCTTAAAATATAAAGAACTATTAGTTAGCTAAATAATTGAGATTAGTGAAAATGATTAAATCACAGATAAACTAAGTATAATCTGGTCTAAGAAGAATTTTGAGAAGTATATCAAAGCTTATATAATTAATAGATATAGCTAACTAGTTAACTAACTAGACTATTACTTATTAATGAATATAATAATCACAATATATTTGAATTTGATCAGTGCTGCATATCAGTACTGCATATAGAAATCTATTATATCTCTATATATATCAGCTTATTTATATTATCTTTTATAGTTATTAGATGTAAGCTGCTTTAACTTTTAGAATAACTAATATAGACAAAAAGTTGAGAATTATATGAAAATAGAAATCAATTGTATTAACAAGAAAAATTTTCTAACACTATATTCTGCAGTTAGAAAAAGGCCTTCAAGAACTCTATTATTAAAAATGAATTTAAAAACATAAGTCTAGAGCTATATGAGGTGAATAAAATCCTTATAGATCTACATACTTAGCTTCATACTTCTACTCTTTTAGACACTTCTTATAAATATAAGTTATTTTATACTCTTCATGTCTAAGAAGAATGTGAGATACTTAGAACTTTAAAGTAGCAAGATTAAACAGTGTATGAAGTTATCATTCAGTTCAATCAATCAATCAGTTAATCAACTGATTAAAAAATACCAGCTGATTATACATAGTGCTGCTATCTTAGCAAAGAGAAATAAGAAGCTAAGAGCTATAGTTGAAAAGAAAAAGTGTAAAAAGAAGCAAGCTCATACATTTGTAGCTCAAAATGAAGCTTTAACAGCTGAGAAAGAAATAGCTAGAGCTCAAGCAATTGATCAAACTGTACATAATAAAATAGAGAATTTGAACTAGTCATCTAGAAAGTAAGCTTTACCACACTGCAGTGAGTGTAATCAAATTGATCACACTGCTAGAATTTGTTAATAGATCTAAGAAATAGATCTATATATCTTATATAAGAAATTTTAGTTTGATAATTACTTAATTTCATAATATGACTAAGTTTGAGATAAAAGACTATTTCTAATACTATCTACTCAGTGATAGATTACATTATAAGATCTAAATTAGTTAGTTAACTAACTAGTTAGTTAATTATTTTTAAATTATATATATAAAGATGTGGAACAAAAGTAATAACTTACAGTATTATTATCTGATGAATTATAAATATTAATTATCTTATCTAATTTATATAAAATAGAAAGTAGCTTTAATATTTAAATAAATAAACACTTTATACTCTGTTTTTAATCTCTTAATTCTTATCTCAATAGTTTATCTCATTTTTAAAAATTATTTCAGTTTTAAAAAAACCTTATATAATAGAAATATTTATCAATAATTAAAATAAATAAAAGAAATTTACTGAGATTTTAATATATAATTTGAGTATTTCTCATATCAATATTTAGAGAAATCTACATAAAAATAGCTTTGCAATTATTAAATCTACTTGAAAGTTTGATCAAACTAAAGCTGCAAAATAAAAAAGATTTAATTTATATTTGATTACAAGAATTAAACCCTGAAAAAATTAAAAATATTGTTTGAAAAGATGAAATATCTATAGTTTTTAATTATTAATATAGTATTTACAAGTATAAAGAAAAATCTAATAGGCTGAAAATTCAATCTGTATATAGTGAAAATTTAAGTATGTTAATAAATTTATATGTTAAAAATCTTTTTTATATATTAAGAAAAATTTTTATTATATTTAAATAGAAAAGATTATAGCTAAGAAGTAGATTCAAAAGAATTTAAATAAAAAAACAAATATAAAAAGTTTGATTATAAAAAAAATTAAAAATTTAATATATAGATATAAAAAATAAAATCTTATTAAAGTAAAATTTTAAACAGAGATTCTATTTAAAGATTTACTTAAAAAAATTACAAATTTATATACAAAAATAATAATAAAGTAAATTAATATAGATATTAAAAGATTTAAATAAATTTCTTTTAATATAATAGTAAAAATCTCTTTTACTTAAATAGTAGTATATTTTATTATAATAACTAATTCTTCTCTTGTTTTTTTTATTAAAATATTCTTATTTTAAAGTATATTTTTTTGTAAAAAAATATTTAAAGAATTAGTTAAATATTATTATTCTAGAGAATAAAGTATTCTACAACAGTTAGAAAAGCTTTTTGTAAATAAAAAACTTTAAAAGAAGCTTAATTAAAAATATAAAAATAGTTGTTATAGTGTTAGGCTCAGCGCCCGACCGAGCCCGACCGAGGCCCGGTGCCCGGTTAGACTCGACGTCGGATTAAGCTCGGCGCCCGATTAGGCCAAAATATTCTCACGTGATCAAACGACCATGCGGGTGGTTATAACCCGGGCAGGCCTCAGCACCTCTTTCATCCCATCAAGCTTAGTATTTCGTTATATAGCAGTTAGCAACGCAGAGAGTTTCCTTCTTATGCAGCTCGCATTCGCTCCCTAACATAATACTAAGCTTGATGGGATGAAAGAGGTGCTGGGGCCTCCCCGGGTTATAACCACCCGCATGGTCGTTTGATCACGTGAGAATATTTTGGCCTAATCGGGCGCCGAGCTTAATCCGACGTCGAGTCTAACCGGGCACCGGGCCTCGGTCGGGCTCGGTCGGGCGCTGAGCCTAACA